TGCACGGCGGTCAAAACAAACAACAAAAAAAACCCCACCACGCTCTCAAAGCGTTGCTGGCATCGCAGACGTGAATGTCGGATTCACGCTCGGCCTCACTGCGGTCGTTAGGAATTGGCTGCCAAGTGCCGTGCGGGGTGTGGGAATTGAGTGCTGCTGGTGCTTGGGATATGTGTGTGTGTGATGGGGGGGTGGGGGGGAGATGTGTGTGTGTGATGGGGGGTGGGGGGAGTTGTGTGTGTGTGTGTGTGTCTGATGGGGAGCGGTAGCGTAGCGGTTAGCGCGCTGCGCTACGAACCTGGCGAGCCGGGTTCGATTCCCGCTCACGGCTAACATTAGTTGACTTGGCCTCAAATGAGTAGCTGGTGCGGTGTGTAAACATCGCCACTCGGGAGACAAAGGCGGCTGGGCATGGTCCTGGTCACCCACTCCCTCGTGTGCTGTTCCGGCCTTCATAAGCGCTCGCTAACAGCACTTGCCTCAACAGTCTTTGAAGGCTAGAGGTTGATCTTTGTCTTTGGACAATAGGGGCTTGCTTTTAGCAAAGGGCTACTGAGGTCTGCCTAAGACCAAATCACCGGAATGCACCCAACGTCAACCCCAGTGCCTCTGATGTGTACACATCAGCATGAGGAATGACGTAAAGGCTGAGTCGACCTAGAGGATGCCCAGAATGGTTTCAGATTTCGCTTGCCACTTCGCGTGTGTGGCCGAGGATCAAACTTGCCATGGCCGAGGTTCGAACCCTCATCTTATCTGTTGCACACCCGCCATCTCACACCAGTCAGAACCCTCATCTCACGAGATGTTGAGATGTAGATCCCTCGCCTCTTGCAGCGCTCCGCCCTCATCTCATTTGAGACGCTCTCGTGAGGCTTGCGTCGTGCTGGCCTATTAGCTTCTCCATTGCACGTGGCGGAATTGCTGAACGCGACGTGAATGGGCTCCAGTTGCTAGCGGGCGTTTGTGAAGGCGCCATCTCTGGTGTCCGTCTCTCCGTTTCACCTGAGTGGGGAGGGGGGGCGGGGGGCAGCGTCGGTAACTTAGTGTGCGTGTCTGTCGTCAAGCTGACGCACCCAGACTCGCGTACACACGCCGGGACCAAGCGTCACACGTGCTAGCTCTGTTAGCGAGCACCTATGCAGGCCCGGCACGGCACGGCACACGAAGGAGTGGGTGGCCAGCATCACACCCGACTGCCTTTGTCTCCCCAGTGGCGATGTTTAAACACCCCACTGGATACTCATTTGAGGCTGAGTTGACATAGGGGAGGCCCATGACCGGTTCAGATACCCCCAAGCATGTGCACACTTACAAAGATGAAAGATCCCTTAATTTGGTCGAATGGACTCTCGCAATCGTTCGCGCTGTGTGCTGTGATCCCTGGGACTTGCGTTTGTTTCCTGGCCAGGGATGTCATCATTGGCGAGTATCTAAACCGGCCCCGTTTACTGCCCACCTTGGCTGACCCATTACTGCCCAGCGTGGTAAAGTATTTGATGAAGTATTCAGAGTATTTGGCTGCTATGCATTTCCACATGATAGTAAACCACTTCATTGGGCTATCAGTTGTGGCCAGGTCGCTTCTGAAAAGGAGCTATATAGCTCGGTGGGCCTTCGCTGGTGAAATAAAAATGTTTTTAATAGTTTTAGTATGATCCAATAACAGCCGTGACCGACACGGCTTAGAGCGGCAGTCATCCAGCAGCGGATCGACAAAGGGTCTGTGTACATGGACTGCTTGGGCGAGAGATGTTCGCGAGCACCTATTAATGCCGGCGCACACACACAGGGATGGTGTGTCCGGAAATTTAAAAAAAACCGCACTCGTATACACGCGCCGGCATGGACACGCGAACGTGATGCACACGCGTTCCACGCACACGTATTTTGGTTCGCCAAGATCCGGCGATGCGTCGCGCAAAACATACAGGCCGGAAAAAAATAGAATCTTTCTCAAACGGGGAAAAAAAAAAATGTCTCGCTGAGCGGAAGAGCATTGCTGCGGCGAGCCCTGATTAATTACCGCTCGTTACAAAAACACGCTCGGACTTTCTTCACCCGTGCTAAACTAATGAGTTTGGACGGCAAGGCTGTCTAAACAGCGTCTTGATTTACAATGCATGGCTTCTGCTGATGGTCCATTATAGAATGCCATTATAAAGATCCCCCGTATAGCCTTACCAGACTGTAGGGGCAAGTGCTGTTAGCGAGCACCTATGAAGGCCGGAACGGTACAACGAGGGGGTGGGTGGCCAGCACCACGCCCGACCGCCTTTATCTCCCCAGTGGCGATGTTTACACACCGCACCAGGTACTCATTTCAGGCTGAGTCGACCTAGGGGAGGCCCAGGACCGGTTCAGATAATCGTCACTGGTGTTGGCCGTGAGCGGGAATCGAACTCGTGTCTCCGGGTTCATAGCGCAGCGCGCTAACCGCTACACCACCGCTCCCCACAGACAACGTGTATACACACACACACCGACAACGTGACCCCACATATACAAGCAAAGATCTCCATTGTTATCTCGCTCATGGGGTGAGGCTCATGCTGGTTGTGAGCACCGGTTGGTACGTCCATTCGCAAGTCTCTTTGTGTGTGCGTCAAGTCGTTCGTAGGAGGTACTACCAACTGTCCACCCGTCTATCTGTTAGTCCATCTCTGTCGTTTTGTAGGTCAGTCAGACTCGGTGCCTTGCACGATAGAGATATATACGTGAAATGTGTTTTCTATTTGGTGTTTGAACATCTTAATAACTGTTTTATTGCCAGAAAGGGTAAAACCTATTCTTAGTTTTCATCCACGCCGTGCATGTTTACACAAAGCAACTAACATCTCGATTTAAAGCTTTCGTGACTGCAGGGATTCATCTTCTTGGTTCTTTAGGTAAAGTCACGTAGAAGGGAAATAATAAAATAAAAAAATAAAACATAATAAAATAATTCCCATGACGTTTCGGCCACAACACAAGCAGCCGTCCTCAGGTGAAGAACAGGGCTGTCGGAAAGACAGCGTCTGAATGAACAGGTCTGTCAGAAAGACAGTCGGAAAGACAGACCTGTTCATTCAGACGCTGTCTTTCCGACAGACCTGTTTCTTCACCTGAGGACGGCTGTTTGCGTTGTGGCCGAAACGTCGTGAGAATTATTTAATTATGTTTTATTTTTATTATTTTATTATTTCCCTTCTACGTGACTTTACCGAAAGAACCAAGAAGACAACTAACATCTCTGTATCAATCTCCGTACAAACGTGAGGCCCCATTAAGGGAACGGCTTAGCAGGTTAGCAATTCATTACTGCGCATGGCTGTGTGTACATATGTATGTTGAACTTCTTTCGCACCGTACGTAGCCAACCATGCTAATCGGAGGCTGGGCATCATGAGGCCTTTCGTAAGTTGCATGCAACTCCTCAGGTGGAAGGTTCCCTTCATTTGCACTTCAAATCAGCTCAAGTTATTTAGGGAAAATCCCTTCACGTGTTGTCAGCAAAATGGCCTCTGGTGTTTTATATCAGCGCGGAAAATAATTTTTTTTATCCGATTTATATCGCATGGCATTGGCATGATAGAGATGTATGTGAAATGTGTTTTTGTTGGTTATTTTTCGATGTAAAGCTTTCGTGACTGCAGGGATTCATCTTCTTGGTTCTTTCGGTAAAGTCGTCATGTAGAAGGCAAATAATAAAATAATAAAAAATAAAATATAATAACATAATACAATTCTCACGACGTTTCGGCCACAACGCAAGCAGCCGTCCTCAGGTGAAGAACAGGTCTGTCGGAAAGACAGCGTCTGAATGAATGGTTATTGTTTGTACAAATTGCTCATATATTTGTTTCTGCCCCGTGGCCAAATTGCCCCGAGTGCATCCCATCGCGTCGATGCCTGGTAAGCTAAGGAGGTCTGAGCCTGGTTAAAATGCCTGCATGGGTGAACCCCGGTGGTTGCCACAGCTTGTTGGCGGCACGGGGGTCACGTGGTGCTGTGAGGTGCCCGGAGATGGTAACTCGGCAATGGGTGTGGTCCATGGATAGACCTGGTCCACGGGATGGATTGAGTCTAGATTTGATGCTTTCGTGACTGCAAGGATTCATATTCTTAGGTTTTTTCGGTAAAGTCACGTAGGTAAAAAATTTTCATTAATAAAAGTAAAATAAAACAAAATAAAAAATCCGAAACGTCGTGATTTTTTATTTTGTTTTATTTTACTTTTATTAGTTTAATTTTTTTAGCTACGTGACTTTACCGAAAAAACCTAAGACTATGGGATGGATTGAGTCTGCGTATCAAATCCATTCGTGCCCGGAGGTTTGAGTGTCACCCCCCCCCGCCCACCTCGGATTCTCATTAATGGATTGGGCAAACATCCCAGTGTAGCAGCACCCTCCTGAAAAAAAACGTCTTCAGTGAGGCTATCCTAGATCAAGAATTGACTTGTATAACAATTCAATGTTATTTCTCACATGTGCTGAATTGTTTTTGCACAACTACATTTTCCTTTCGTGCAATGTGCCCCCTTTGTTTGCATTCCAGATAGAGACCCTCCTAGCATTCTGAGAGACGTGTTGAGCTAAAGGGCTTGCACCTTGTTAAAACATTTAGTTCCCGCGTGGATTTCTTTGTAACAACGCCTACGCCTCGACCACCCGCAACGCGCACGCTCACTCTTCAGGTCTCGCAAGTTAAGCAGGGCTGAGCCTGGACAACGCTTGGACGGGCAACCACCCTACGAACCAACAGGCTAACATAGGCTGCTGCGGGGCTACGTGGTGTGCGGCAGAGGGCAGTGCGGTAAATCGTACCGTACTTCTATGCTCCCTGCCTTCACTCACTGGGCGCTGATCAGCGTGGTGCGGTATGGTCAAATCATCTCCGCGACCTACGCGGCGATGGGTTGCCCTCATCCGGCAGTGGATTGACAGAAGTGCTATACGTGGCCAATTTAATATGTATGTAATAATAACATCTATGTTATGTGTGTGTGTGGGCAACAGGCCAAGAAACATCCATGTGTGCTGGACAGGTTATCAGCTGTGGCATTCACAGATTCTGTCCACGGGTTGTATGGCGGTAATCAAAGAGTCGTCGACTGGTTCAAAAAGGTGAGAACGACATTCTTACAGCACTGAGAACACTTCTGTTGCCTGTCCTGTTTACATCACGCACACATTGTTTGGGCAAGTGCTGTCAGCGAGCAGCTATTCAGGCTTGCACTTTGCACACAACGGAGGTGCAGCTAAGAGACATCATCTCATTGTCCTATTGATGATCCCGTGAACTTCACCCATTGATGTCTCCTGCTTTGTTGAGGACTCGGTCGACCAGATTGATTAATCGCATACACACTGTTCAACCACCACACTGCAGGTCACAACAATTCACTCACCTTCTCAACCACCATACTGCAGGTCACAACAATTCACTCACTCACACACTCGCCTACTCACTCACCACACTGCAGGTCACAACAACTCACTCACCACACTGCAGGTCACTTGCACATCCACCAACTCTCTCACCCACTCACCCACCCACTCACTCACCTTCTCAACCACCACACTGCAGGTCACAACAACTCACTCACTCACCTTCTTACTCACCACACTGCAGGTCACTTACACATCCACCCACTCACTCACCTTCTCACTCACCTTCTCACTCACCACACTGCAGGTCACCTCACTTCTCTCTGTGCTCCCTAGCACTGCTCCACCATGGAATTCCTTCCTCCCATCGTCTGTTTTCTCCAAGCTCTTACGATACGCACCTCGGTCAGGTCAAGAAACGCGTTGCACTCTTTTGTCTGACACAATTCTGACGGTGCTGTTTGTTGCTGGTCGCTTGGCGACCTTTTTGGGTCTGCACGCTGCAAATGTGTAAATAAGTCGTAGGAAACGTGGTGATTGAACCGTCGTCGCTTGGAGCTCGGGGGAGGGCTGGCGGAAGTGGTGGTGGCGGCGGTAGTGGTGGCGATGGTGGTGGTGGTGGCGTTGGGCAGTAGTGGTGGCAATGGTGGTGGTGGAGGTGGTGGAGGTGGTGGTGGAGGTGGTGGTTGAGGTGGAGGAGATGGTGGTAGAAGTGGTGGTGGAGGTGGTGGTGGTGGAGGTGGTGGTTGAGGTGGAGGAGATGGTGGTAGAAGTGGTGGTGGAGGTGGTGGTGGTGGCATTGGGCGGTAGTGGTGGCGATGGTGGTGGTGCCGGCGGTGGTGTTAGTGGTAGCTGCACCTCCTCCAGCACGCTGGCTCTGCCATGCCCCCTCCGCCCAGAATCAAGCCGTGCCACCGCCACGACTTCTCGCGGTTGTGCCGCTGTGCGGCTCTCCCCGCGTGCGTTCGGGTCGAGCCGTACGCCATCAAGTCCGCTGTTTACTTTCCACAAAGTAGTACTCGTTTTCTTGACCCCAAAGACATTGATGGTGATGAGGACTGAATCGAGCCCCAACCAGGAATTGAACTCATCAGCCTTCTGAGTATGAGTCCACCGCTCTGTCCACATGGCCACCCGGCTAAACTAAGGGTGGCTTCTTTGTCTCTTTGTGTGTGTGTTGTCTCCAGGAACTCGGGTTTCCTCCCACATGCAAATTGTCATTAAAAAGGCATTGGTCGGTGTGGCTCAGAGCAGTGAGCCGTCACCACTGAATTCCGGGTTCTAATCCGGGTTTCTGTGCGGCCCTAGAGAGATCTTTGTTTTTACGATGTGTACAATTCCCTGCGAGTACGTATGTGTGTGTGTGTGTGTTCGGAGCGGTGGCGCAGTGGTTAGCATGCTGCGCTATGAACACAGAGACCTTAAGATTCCTGCTCACGGCCAATATGAGTGGTGATTATCTGAACTGGTCCTGGGCCTTCCCTAGGTAGACTCGGCCTCAAATGAGTACCTGGTGCGGTGTGTAAACATCGCCACTAGGGAGACACGTGGTGTTGGCCACCCACCCCCTCGTGTGCCATGCTGGCCTTCATAGGTGCTTGCTAACAGCACTTGCCCCAACTGTCTGTTAAGGCTATATGGGGGATCTTTGTTTGTGTGTGTTTACAGAACTGTGTCAACTGGGTGAGTAGTCAAGAGCAATTGAACACCAGAATTATGGGCTATAGAGATGAAGACTGCATTTTGCTGTCTGCTGGTGAGTAATGGACACACTTCTTTATAATAAACTAGCTGTACTACCCGGCTTCGCCCGGGACTTGGATCCACCACGCCCGGCCGCCTTTGTCTCCCCAGTGGCGATCTTCACACACCACTGCAGTTACTCGTTTGAGGCTGAGTCGACCTAGGGGAGGCCCAGGACCAGTTCAAATAATCATCACTGGTGGTGGCCATGAGCGGGAATCGAACTCGGGTCGCCGGGTTCGTAGTACGGCGTAGCGCTAACCGCTACGCTACAATGCGTTACGCTTCCACATGTGCGGGTCACGTGACAGATGTGACGTCACAGCTCATTTGCTGTGCAAAAAATAAATGCATTATTGAGCTCCCCCCCCCACCCCCCCCAAAAAAAGTATATTTTTATAATTTTAGCATGGTGTACAATCTGAAAAGTACCCACATGGCAAATTTCCAGTGTGTTGCGTGTCGGGAAGTACGCTAAACATTTTGAACAGACACACATAGTCACAGCTTTGCCTTTTCTATATATGTGTGGAGATGTTTGGGTTAGGCCGCGTAATAATCTGGCTACATTTTTGGCCGCGCAATTCTCCCCCCCCCCCCCCCCCCCACCTGTTACGGCAAAAACAAATTAAGTCGTCACATGGTGTACTCGCGTTCAGCAATCCGCAAATCGTGGTTGTTTCAGCTCGGCGGAAAGTTAAAGAACAATTCTAACAACAACATATGACGGTTTGATAGGCGTCGTTTCGCGCGTGGTAAGCGTGACCAACTTCGTTTGACGCATCATCATGTCATGAAACCAGGAAGTCATACATTTGGCCAAGTACATTTCCAAGCACACAGACCAAGTACATTGAACACCAGAATTATTGGATATTTTTAAGTTGCCGTAACGTTAAACACTATTTGTGTTACTGCGCTATATTCACTGTTGCGCACTCAACAATAAAGTTGCAGGTTGTACATTGGGTTTCATGGAAGGAATGGGCTTTGTTTAAGACAATGGATATACCGGGGTGCACCACGCCGCTGAATTAGCCCGGTGTTATTCGAGGAAACACAGTTTACCTGATCTCAACTGTCCGCTCACATTTTCTTACATCGCCACAGGCACCATGCAGCACGAATTGACCTCTTATTCTGCATACGGATCCGTCTTTACATACTTCGACGATAAATTGAAAAATCCCAACTGCCAGCCTCGATGGCAAGAACGAGATCAACAGCCGGAGGTGATGGAAGCGTCCACGCCGGACATTTATGATGTTGATGACAGGATGAGCGTCGGGAGAAACGATGACGCAGGGAAGAACGAACACGAGGAACTGGGGGGGGGCACGGAGGCAGAGTGTGCGGCGCCAGTGACGGAGGACGAGAAGAGGTCCGGGTCACACAAGGATGACAAGGAGGGGGAAACTGGAACCAAGCTGAAGGAGTTGGAGGATGGGATGGACCGGAAGAGAGATTCGCAATCCACGAAGCCAGAGAAGCCAGATGTTAAAAACGAGAGTGAGCACGAGGTCAGCCAGACGGCAGCGTCGGGCACTAACGACGACGGGGGTAGCGCCACGATCCCAGACGCAGCCCCGACACAAACGGCGGGCGGCGGCGAGGACGACTCCATGGAGATACAAACTGAGGCGGCGGCGGCGGCGGTGAACGAAGAAAGCGTCAGGGCAAAGCAAAAGGGAGTCAGCGACCCCGAGGCAAACGGCACCGAGGGAGGAGCGGCGAAGGCCGCCGACGTGGAGATGCCGGTGCGCGGCTCAGCTCCCGCCTCGGCCGCAGAGCACGGGAACGCCGAGAGGGCGGAGCAGCCAAAGGTGCAGCAGGAGGCCCGCGGCCAGCCGGGGATGATGCCGCAGTGGGATGGCACGGCCATGGAGACCAACGGGGTCGAGAAGGGCGGTGAGCATCGCGACGACACCGGGAGACCGCCGGCCGCGGCCGGAAAAGAAGGGAACGAGAAGACGGGGGACGAGGAGACGGGGAACGAGAAGGCGGGGGACGAGGAGACGGGGAACGTCGACGCGGAGGAGACAGCCGCCGCTGACGGAAGCAATGGCGAGGGCGAGGCCTCGATGATCGACCTTGGCGGCGCGACCAAAGACGAGACGGACGCAGCTTCGGAGCCCGAGAGCCGGCAAGAGGAGACGGGCAGAACGGAGAAGGCAGAACTGCCGCTCCATGAAGATCTGTGAAGAGAGCGAGAGAGAGGAGGCCCTTCTGACACGATTCGTCATGAAAGTAAGAGTTCAAACGAACATCAGGCAATGCTCATCTCTATTGGCCACCCCAGACCAGTGGAGGAATTGCCACATTCTGATGGCAAAGATTCAATTTATTTCATAGTATCACCACTATTGCCTGCTCACAAAGTGTCGTTCGCTTTTATCAGGGCCGAGATTGGAGTTGATTATTGATAACGGCCAAGGCCGCACCTCTGATCCGCACGGTTGGCTACGTATGGTGCGAGAGAAGTTCAACATACATACAGTACATACACAGGCCTGTATCACGGGTTTTTTTGTTTAATTGAGGAGTTTCAAAACTCCTCTTTCAGAGCACCATGAATTCATGCCGCCATAGCGGTGCGATGGCCCAGCAGCAGACTCGTGATCCAGAGGTCACCGGCTGAATTTGACCTCCCGGCGCGAAGGTTTAACCAACGGGGGCACGCTTTTTAAAATAAATCCATCCCCTTCCCTCGCGCCTCTGTCCACCCAGCGTGTGGCGCGTGGTAGAGCAGGCCAAACATGCCCTCCAGAGGTGTGCGTCTCCCTTGAGGGGCATCTCGCAGAGGCTCTTTCGCAAGCAAGGGGGCGCGTGGGCGAGCAGTTACAGGGCTGCGCCTTTGCTTGTACCTGAGTCGTGATGCGTGGAGCTGTTCAGCGCGATAACGGTATGTAAACTAACTTCATTCTAGATTTGAAGCTTTCGTGACTGCAAGGATTCATATTCTTAGGTTTTTTCGGTAAAGTCACGTAGGTAAAAAATTTAAATTAATAAAAGTAAAATAAAATAAAAATCACGACGTTTCGGAGGCAACACAAGCTTCCGTCTTTAGGTGGAACCGTCACAGCCACGACAGCTGTATCAAGTAAATGAGAGATTCCACCTGAAGACGGAAGCTTGTGTTGCCTCCGAAACGTCGTGATTTTTATTTTATTTTACTTTTATTAATTAAAAATTTTTACCTACGTGACTTTACCGAAAAAACCTAAGAATATAAACTAACTTCTTGACACCGATTCGTCTTCTCCCACTTGTTGCCTTCTAGGGATCAAACAGCCTATCCGGAGGACTCTTACTACTTCGGGTTTTTTTTGTCCGGTATGATGCCTGAGATTGGATAATTGGTGTTTTTGGTGGGTAGGGTTAATGCGATTCCGATCACCGATTGATTGCAAGGTATTTGTTCTAAATGTAACTTTTGATCGATGTCCCAGTGTAGAATGTGTATAAAGTTTTATTCGGTATGAGCCATTGTAATTTGCGGTGTAAATTGGTGAACATATATAAGCGTGACCATTCACTTCTTAAAGCCAGTGCGGCTGTTCTGGGTAAAATACTCTTCATCGTTGACACTGCAAGTAAAACAATTTCAGGGGGGTAGGTTTAATATTGAATGTTAACTTACAGGGCATGCATTAACTAGAGCCTTACTTTTTTAACTGCAATGTTATTGTACAAAAATGTGGTCTTACGATGACGAGAAAAACAAAGATGACAACTGAAGGGCGGAAGAAAGAAATCCACGTTTATCATCGAGAATCTTCCCAAAATTCCCGCTTTTTCAAGAAACGAAAATGAAACGCTCAGCATTGAACAGTGGTTCAGATCAGAGGTCGCAAACGGGTTTTGATTCCTTACCCGTACCCGGCCGCACCAGGGTCGCAAACGGGTACCCGTACCCTACCCGATACCCGGCTACCCGTACCCGGCTGGGTACGGGTAGCCGGGTATTGCGACCTCTGGGATGAAGCCATGTTGCAGGCGCGGGTGGGTTGATTCTAGGAACTTGAATTGTGAGAAGAGACAAGACGTTGGGAAATGAGTGACAAACGGTGACTCACCAGTGACTCACGGCCCACCCGTACCCGGCCGGGTACGGGTAGTCGGGTATCGGGTAGGGTACGGGTACTCGATTGCGACCTCTGGTTCAGATGTATTGTGACCCCCCCCCCCCCCCCCCCCCCCCAATTTACTTACCATTAACATTTGTTTCTATTTTTCTTCTTATTCATGTATGTGTTCACACCCATTGTCATGCAAAAATATTATGCTTTGGAGAATTAAATGGGGGGGTCACAAGGCATATGGACCAGCGGCGAACACGTTACCAAATTAACTGTTAAACTATTTTTATTCTACACAGCTCAATTTTAGCAGCGACCTGGCCACATGTGCTCGTTCATCGAAGTGGCTTACCATGTGGAAATGTATAGCAGCAGCCAAATATTCCAACACCCCCCCCCCCCACGGGTCACGTGACCACGCCCTCACCACGTGTCACGCAAACTCGAGCTGGGCAGTAAACCTGTGATGGGGTTTTTATATCGCTCATTACATGGACAGTTTTTATCTCATGGAGATTGATATAGCGCCTTAATCCGAGACGCCGCTTTACAATTGTTAAAATTGTACGTGGCATGATAGTGGTTAAAATAAAGTGATAGGCGTTGGGGTAGTGATAGGGGTAGGGGTGGTGATAGGCGTAGGGGTGGTGATAGGGGTTGGGGTAGTGATAGGGGTTGGGGTAGTGATAGGGGTTGTGGTAATGATAGGGGTTGGGGTAGTGATAGGGGTAGTGATAGGGGTAGTGATAGGGGTTGGGGTAGTGATAGGGGTTGGGGTTGGGGTAGTGATAGGGGTTGGGGTAGTGATAGGGGCTGGGGTAGTGATAGGGGCTGGGGTAGTGATAGGGGTAGTGATAGGGGTAGGGGTAGTGATAGGGGTTACGGTAGTGATAGGGGTAGTGATCGGGGTTGGAGTAGTGATAGGGGTTGGGATAGTGATCGGAGTAGTGAAAGGGATAGGGGTAGTGATAGGCATTGGGGTAACGATAGGGGTAATGATCGGGGTTGGAGTAGTGATCGGAGTCGTGAAAGGGATAGGGGTAGTGATAGGGGTTGGGATAGGCCTGGTCATAGCTGAGGGGGGGGGGGGGGGCAGGGAGTATCAGTAGGATGAGGTAGGGAACAAGAGAATAGTTATTTTGATAATTGTATGTGCAGTGGGAATTTGTTCATTTCCTATGGGTAAAAAAAAAACCTCCAGTTCGCTGCCTGATACCTCAAAAAATCCCCCAATACACTGCCCGACGCCCCAACCAATCGCCTTGCGGACTGTACTTGTCCATGCCTCGTTAAAAACTCCTCTGCTGGTGCAGAGTCGCATTGGCTTGGCATGGCCGGTGCCCATCATGCGCCGTCGAGAAGTGAGCTTTCGCGTTCGCACAGCTTGGCAGTTCCACTCCGACCACGCGCGAGTGGATGACTGTGAATAATGACTTTTAAGTTTTTGTGTCATTAACGAAGCTTCTCTGTAGGTCCTGATGTTGGATATAGCCCGGAACATCTGGAACGTAAGAGCTGCTTGAGGTTTTTTTTTGTGTGTATGTTGTCTTTTTAAAAAAATGTCACGAATGTTAAACACTCTTTTAAAAATGTCTTCACCTGTTTTACGGATTTGGTGTTGCTATTGAATTAATCTTAAATAAATAAAAATAAATCTTTTATGATTTTTTTTTAAGTTTGGACTTCTAATCACTATAATGCATTCCGTCACATGAGGGGTGCATTCATCATCAGCCTTGGTCAATCCACTGCTGGATGAAGGCCCTCCCCAAGCCACCGCCACATCTCACGAACACGCGATGTAACAATCCACCCAGCACCTGCACACAAATTATTTTCTTTGCTCCATCTCCGCGGCAGACGTACCTCTATCACGAACACGTTCCATTCCTTGGCTGCCATTCCGTTATTATCCTTGACCACTTTGGCTGTCGTACACATCGTCCCTTCTAGCCATGAGGTGCCCTGTCCAAGCCCGCTTGTTTTTTTCTGAACGCTCATGCCTACCTGCGTATGTTCTACAATCTGTGTGCTGTCTATCCCACAATGCAATGTGTTGGTGCATTGGCCATTATATATCCAGTTTTTTGTAAGGTAGATTTGGTGGATCTCAATAATAATAATAATGAGACTCATTGTATCTGAGATACACCAAGACCAACGAAGACACTAAATTTCGATTTAAAGCTTTCGTGATTGCAGGGATTCATCTTACTTGGTTCTTTCGGTAAAGTCATGTAGAAGGGAAATAATAAAATAATAAAACATAATAAAATACAATTCTCACGACGTTTCGGCCACAACGCAAGCAGCCGTCCTCAGGTGAAGAACAGGGCTGTCAGACGCTGTCTTTCCGACAGACCTGTTCTTCACCTGAGGACGGCTGCTTGCGTTGTGGCCGAAACGTCGTGAGAATTATTTTATTGTTTTATTTTTATTATTTGATTATTTCCCTTCTACGTGACTTTACCGAAAGAACCAAGAAGAAAGACACACTAAGTCCATGCATACATACACACGTACAAAATGTTACAAAGATCCCCCATATAACTGTTAGCAAGCAACTGTTAAGGTTGGCACAGCGTATGAGAGGGTGGTTTAGTTAGGACCACACCTGTCCGACTTTTCACTCAGAACTGATGCATACACGTTGCAACCAGGTGCTAATTAAAGGCTGAGTTGATCTAGAGGAGGTCCAGGACTGGTTCACCATCGTTCCACTTTTGTTCGACGTCACCGTGAATAGAACTCGGCTTGGCCGGTTTAGAGCACAGTTACGATAACCTCTGCACCACCACTCAACCCCAACTGGAACATGTGTAGTGACATAGCACGTCACTACTGTGTCGGCCCGTACGAGGGCTGGGGGCCCCAAGGGGGTGCCTGGGGGGTCACGTGGTGGAGGGATCCGGACCTTCCCAGAGGTGGGGGAAGTGAGGCGTGGCCTGGAGAGAGCCAGCCACGCCGGGGCAGAGCCGGCCACGCCAAAGCAGATATAAGCGTGGTGTGAACGCAGAGCGAGGCTGTTGTACTGTACTCCGAAGTGAAGACATCATCGGTCGTCAAGTCCCGAGTCGTCGTCCTGGGCCAGGCAGGCCATTGCCTGCCTGGTCCAGTCTGTGTCGCGTTCCAGAGTGTTAGTGAGTTGAGGGAGGTGGTCACCACCTCATGTACAGCGTTATGTTACTTACCGTTTAATACATAGTGTTGCCTCCAAGCTGCGTGTGTGTGCACCTAATTCGAACCTACTACACATGCACAAATACATACACAGTATGTATATGGTGACATGTGCTTGGTGGAGTGGTGGTGCAATGGTTAGCACTCGGGGTGCTCAGGTCCCCGGGGTCACTGGTCCGGATGACGGAGCACAGCTTGCTTTGTTGTGCCTGAGCACGAGTGTCGTGGGTGTTGTGAGCGTGAGTGCAGACGAGTGAGACGACACGAGTGTTGCGGATGCTGTGAGAGTGTTGGCATGAGTGTTGCGAGCGTGAATAAATGTGTGAGAAGGGATGAGTTGTTTTGACTAATGCCCCCGTCCTGCGAGAGTGAGATACAGCGATGGAATGAGTGCGTGATGTGAGAAAGTGGGGTGACACTGCGTTGTCGTGCCGGCCTTCGCAGGTGCTCGCTCAACAGCACTTGCCCCAGAAAGCCTGTTGGGGCTATACGGGGAATCTTTGCCTCTGCGTGATCGAGTGAGTGTGTGCGAGTGTGTACGCAAGCGTGCGAGACAAAGTGGTGACGATTTCGATTTAAAGCTTTCGTGACTGCAGGGATTCATCTTCTTGGTTTTTTCGGTAAAGTCACGTAGAATGGAAATAATAAAATAATAATAAAACAAGAAGAGGAAAAAGGGTGACGATGTTCTGCCTCCTGCCGTGCGTTCGTGCGAGTTGCGGCTCACGGATGACGTTCGATTTCTCGTCGCGTTGAAGCGTTTCACTCCTGGGGGGGAGGGGGGGGGGGGCTCTCAATGAATGGGACAGTGGGGGGCGGGAGGTGAATGATGATGGGTAGGGGGGGGGGGGTATGACAGCATTGCTCTTGTGCAATCACCGCGCTCATATCTGTCCCGGTTAAGAGCGAGAGCCCCCCCCCCCCGGGGGAGGCACTGCAACTCCCGGGCCAAGCACGGATCTCGGTTGCCTCTTGCCGAGGTGCTGCTCGCTCACGCAACACAGCGAGACACGTGCGTTCTCCCCATAGAGCACGCAATTCGTACGTAAGACGTCAAGATCCACCCCACACTCCGCATAGCCCACCGCGTGCGGGTAGGGGCAAGTGCTGTGAGTGAACATCTTATTAGAGGCCGGTTACGGAATTGTGTGTCTTCGTCCAGTGATGATGTTTACACACACACACCACGCCTAGGTAGTCATTTAAGGCTAAGTCGACCTGGGAAAGACCCAGGACCGGGTCAAATATTCGCCACTTATCGGCGGTGAGCGGGAATGGAACTCGGGTCGCCAGGGGGGGGTCGTGGTGCAGTTTAGTAGCGCGCTAACCACTACACGACCGCTCCCCATCCAATCACACGCACATGTGCACCTGTGAAGGTGAGCACCTGTGAAGGTGAGCACCTGTGAAGGTGAGCACCTGTGAAGGTGAGCACCTGTGAAGGTGAGCACCTGTGAAGGTGAGCACCTGTGAAGGTGAGCACCTGTGAAGGTGAGCACCTGTGAAGGTGAGCACCTGTGAAGGTGAGCACCTGTGGAGGTCGACACAGCGCACAAAGGAGCGGGGTGGCCAGCACAACGCCCGGTCGCCTTTGTCTCCCCAGTGGCGGCGATGTCTACACACCGCTTCAGGTACTCATTTGAGGCTGAGTCGACATAGGGGAGGTCCCAGGACCGGTTCAGATAATCGTCACCGGTGTTGGCCGTGAGCAGGAATCGAACTCGTGTCGTCAGGTTCGTAGCTCAGCGTAGCGCTAACCGCTGCACCACCGCTCCCCACACAAACAACAACACATGATCGTTCGTCAGTCACAACTGCGCGGACGACATTTCGGTCAATGATCCTTATTAAACGAGGCGGCCACACTTGTGCAGGGC